AGAAGCCTTCCGTCAGCAAATGTCTCAGTACTCTGCCTTCGAATGTAAAGTGAATGCCAGTGCATGGAAAGCTGCAGAAAAAGAAGTCCGTTCCGTTGTCAAGGAAGATGCCGCCCTCGTTCTGGATGCATCCCGGGGGATTTTGACTGTGGCTGGCCGGGGTGACGATATAAAGAAAGTCAAAGGTCCTGTGGAGAACATCGTTCTTAAAGCCATCAGCCAGATCAAACGGCAGACAGAAGGTGTATCTGAGAGTATCGATATGTCCCCTGCAAAGTTCTACATCCGGAATCAGGAGGGCTTACTCAAAGCTGCCCTGGACATTTCCCCTGACATGAAAATCTCGTTGGATGAAGGCGCCCAGAAGTTAACCATTACAGGACTACCTGCAGAAGTTTACAAGACTAAGTCATGGATCTTGGAGCGGACCGTGGGTATGAGTAAGAAGCAGCTGAATGTCCCTCCAAGTCTTTTAGACTATCTTAATACAGTGGATGCCATGGACATGTCAAAGAGCCTGTTCACATCCCAAGGCATCAGTGCCATCTACAGCATTGATAGCAAAGGGGTTTTACTGTTGGGGACTTCTGAGCCTGTCCTTGCTGTTGCAGAGAAAAAGATGCAGACAATGTTTAGTGTGGAGACTCTGGATGTGGAAGATCAAGAAGTTCTGAAACTTCCCAACTGGGTGGACCTAAACCAACAGCTGTTGGATACCTTCAACTCCTTAAAGAATAAAACAGTGGCCATTCAGATCCAACCAGAAAGAAGAAACCAAATAACTGTGACCGGCTTCCAGATTCCAGTAAAAGAGGTTAGCAATAGTCTGAGGGAATTCATTGTTAACTTCTCACAAGTTAAAGAAACCATTCGCGTCGGGTCCTTTGCAGTTGTTCAGTTCATTGAGAATAAAAAAAAACAAGAGTGGTTCAGTATTGCCAAAGATAATGCTGTTAAAGTCCAATTTGATTCAGAGAGGCCAAAGATAACTTTGGCAGGGGCTCGTCTTCATGTACAGAAAGCCAAATGCTGCTTTCAGGAACTGACTAGTGCTCTCTCCACTGACAACTTTGTTGTGGATAAGCCTGGAGCCAAGAAGTACTTCCAGACTCAAGGAAGCCTTTTCCTTTCTACAATAATGACCGAATACAGCTGTGTGGTCGTGCTCTGTCCAGAGAATCAAGAAGAAGAGGAAGAAGAGAACTACGGGGAAGAAAATGGCCTTTGTTTTTGCAAAGTGAAGACTGCCAATGGGGTTCTAGTTTCCGTCAGCAATGCAGACATCTGCACCCTAAACGTGGATGCGGTGGTCAATGCTGCTAATGAAGACTTACAGCACATTGGAGGCCTGGCTCATGCACTTCTCATGGCTGCAGGACCAGAACTGCAGAAAATCAGCAATGACTATATACAGGTAAAAGGAAAACTTCGCCCAGGTGAAGCCATCGTAACAGGTGCATGCAACCTGCCTTGCAAGTACGTCGTACATGCCGTCGGTCCTCGTTTCCATGACTCAGATAAGAGGACAGCAGTGTCACGTCTGAAGCTTGCTGTTAAAAACAGTCTGAAACAAGCAGAGCAAGTTAACTGCTCCACCATTGCACTGCCAGCGATCAGCTCAGGAGTGTTCGGGTTTCCTGTGGACCTCTGTGCTGACACCATAGCACAGGCAGTGAAGGAGTACTGTGACAGTCCAGGAGCTCCACGGTCACTGACGGAGATCCAGCTGGTGGACAACATCCATAACACCGTTAAGGTCTTGGCCACAGCTGTCAACAGAGAGTTCAATGACCTCGGACCCATTTTGACTCTACCACAGCTGGCAGGAGGAAGAGGCACCGGGGTTTCAGGGTAAATTGAGGACCTTTTGCTTATTATTAAAGCATACTACAGCTTGGCTAGCTTTGTCCAGAGTAACAATCTCCAGAAAACATCAATTGGATGATTTTTTATTGTTTCGGGATCAATTGGAAAAAAAATTGTGTTCAGCAATTCTAAGGCTATATGCTGTTACAGTTCTATTTTTATACCAGTTCAATTAACAACACGTAGATCAGACATGCTTGTTGGAAGTTAGATTTGTGTGTGTTTGAGCTTTACTGCTTACTCCCCAGCAGACATCAGTGGGGTCGAGGTCAAAGCCAGTCATCCAGGGGCCATCAAGGCGCTGAAAGAGGAGGAGGACGCAGAGGTGGACGCCGAGGAGGACGTGAAGGAGAACCCGGAGGAGGAGGAAAAGGAGGAGAACGCGGAGGAGCATCTCGGGGGACAGCAGCTGGATTTAACAGGGGAAGTCAGAGCCCCAGGGGACACTCCAGGTCTGAAGGGCATGGAGGGTAAGGATCTTCTTTTTATCTTTCTTTTCTGCTGGTTGCTTCTTTTTGCTTTTGCTCTTGTAAGTTAAGTTTCAAAGACCACAGTATTGTGGTCTTTTATAGAGTCTGGAACAAATCAAAACCAATGCTAATCTTACAAAAGAAAAGTACGAAACTGGAAAAATAAGGATTACAAATTTGTAGACCAGGAAGTATACTTTTTAATATATTTTGTTCTTTTTTGGCAACAAAAACGAACACAGTTATGGTGACCATATTCACATTGATGACATTAGCGATGTTCTTCGATTGGCTGTAGGTCAGGGAAGATGGAGCAGACCACGTCGGAGGGTCTTAGGATTGTTCTGCTGAAGGGAAACATCCAGGACCAGACTGTGAGTATTATTAAAGCACCAATTGAAAAACAGTTGATGATAAACTGTAGTATATTACTGATGCAGGTTTCTGTGGATGCCTTATTCTGAAAGTAGCTGTTGTGGATTAGGTAGGTAATATCTACTAGATGGTAAAAGTAATAATAGGACAAATTCGGGTGAATGCCAGTAACTTTGGCTTTAAGAATAATTCCCATTCTTAAACTTGGATACCATTTTTGCTTTTATCATTTTTCATATTGATTATGATAATGATCTACATAAAGTCATCAAGTTCAGAAAAAGTGATAAGGGGGCAGCAGGCTGAGTTAAATGGTTTAAACATGAAAATACTATAGCAGAGAGTACATAACAAGCAAGTAACGACAGACAAACAAAAAATACTACACTAATCATTAGTTACAAGGGCAAGACAGAAGGAGAGTAGACAACCTGACACGGAAAGAGGAGACAAAGGTGAGTATACCAAAATAAAACAATAAATAATAACTGAAAACTAGAAACAAGTGAAACATTACCAAAGAACGCCACTGTCAAAAAGGAAAATGTTTAAACAAAAACATGCATGGTTTTTTATATGGATAGTAGATAAAATATAAGAATATAGTCTGAATAGAGATATTGATGATATTGACATACAGTGTGTGAGTGTGTACAAGTACAAACCCTGCCTTAGTAGACAGAGTCCGTGAATAGCAAAACGTTTTCTAGCAGGGGCAGTGCATGATATTAAGGATTTTGGGAGATGGCCCTATGGGCCCTATGGGCCATCTAAGCTAATTTACAGATGGCCCTGAGCCCAATAGAGATTGCCCTGAAAAATGCGTGCGGACGAAATGCCACGAAGGGTTTGGGGGGCCTCCTCCTAGAACATTTAGATTTTTGCAGGTCTTAGATGCTGCCTGGTGCATTCTCTAGACTGAATTATAAGATGAACCAGCACAATATTATATTGTACAATTTCAATTTTATTCTTCATTTCACTTGTTTGTTTGTTCTTGTTTGTGTTTGCTCGCTTGCATGCCCTGCATAGCTATAAGAAATACTTAAAGAGCCTGTGACACGATTTCCCCCCATCATCCAAACCCATCAATTTGAGTAAATATTGTCCCCTTGAAAACCGTTACTGAACTGATTTTGGATATTTGTACTTTGATAACCATTAATCTGCCCTTCAATGTTGACCATTTCCTGGATCTTCTCGGGGATTCTTCAAGTCCCG